TTCCAGCTAGAAGGAGCTCACGACCCAGACAATGGTTTGAATGCATTGCATTCCTACAAACTGAGTCAGAACGAACACTTTAAGTTGGAAATTGATGAATTAACGGAAGACAGCAAAATTCCTTCCATACTACTTATTAAACCTTTAGACCGAGAAGTCACCTCGCTGTTTAATATACAACTAATAGCCATGGACGGCGGCAATCCGAGTAGGTCTGGTTGTTTAAATTTGACTGTCATTGTTTTGGATGCTAATGACAACGCGCCTTTGTGTGCACAGCAGAAGTACACAGTTAGTGTACCAGAGAATATACCAATAGGTACGGTTCTTATACAAGTTAATGCGTCTGATGCAGATGAAGGCATGAATGGCGAAGTCGAATACTCATTTCGCAGTAATTTCAGGAGTAAAACGTCTGAGGTCTTCGATTTGGATGCAAAAACAGGGAAAATTGTAGTAAAAGGCTTGATTGATTTTGAAGCGAAACAAGTTTACGAGATAAATATTCAAGTCTCAGACAAAGGATCGCTTCCCATGACTTCTTACTGTAACGTGTTCGTGAAAGTTGATGATGTGAATGACAACAAGCCCGAAATAGAGATCGCCTCTCTGTCCAACCAGATTCCCGAGAATACGCCGGTAGGTACCGTAGTGGCGCTGATCGGAGTAACTGACTTGGATTCAGGTGTGAATGGACATGTAATTTGTACACTGGGGGAGGACATACCGTTTGAACTGAAACACTCGAGTGAGGACAATTTCTATTCATTGGTGACAAAGAGACGGCTAGATAGAGAGTCGGTACCACAGTACGAGATAAGAATAACAGCGAAGGATATGGGGACCCCTTCGTTATCCTCCGTTAAGGCTTTTCGTGTGGAATTATCAGACGTTAACGACAACAGTCCGGTATTCTCACAGAGTCCCTACACCTTCTATTTAATGGAAAATAACGACCCAGGTGCATCTATATTCAAAATTAGTGCCTCTGATGCAGATGAGAATGAAAATGCTCTAATTTCCTATTCATTTGGGAACGTAATTCGAAGTCAAAGTGTAACTTCTTTTTTGAACATTAACTCTGGTAGTGGTGATATTTATGCACTGAAAAGCTTTGACTTTGAAACAATGAAAACCTTCCAGTTCCAAGTAGTAGCTAAAGACTCCGGAACCCC